AAGCCGGTATAGGTTATAAGTCCAAAAGTGGCAATAAATCCTGTGGTGTTCCCGTAAATCTTAGACCTTGGCCTTAGGATGGCGAAATTAATAAAACTCTTATCTAAAGGAAAAGAAAAGTTAGAAGAAAATAGAAATACAGAAGAAGAAACCAGTAATATGAACTTAGTTCATCATGAATTAATCATCCCAGAGATAGAAAATCAATTAAATAAATGGACTCTTCCAAAATTAGAAATATCGAATATTTATAAAACTAACTGGAAAGATATGTTCAAATAAGAATACATAGTAAAAACCGTAGATAAAGAAATAGAATTATTATCAAGCCATGAAAAAATACCATTAATAACTAAATCATTAATAGCAGAACATATAAAAGAATATAGATATCTTCATATAGGATCAATACAAATAGCAATAAAACCTCTTTTTAGAAAAAGAATAGATACACCTATGTTTGTCGCCTTAAGAGATAATAGACTAATAAAACTTGAAAACCAGATTTTAGCAATGTTTGAAACAAACCTACATAATGGACCAAGTATACATAAATAATTATCCTAATTATTCGATAGCCCTTAAAAGTTTGCATAATACGAGAAAATAACATAATATTAGACATAAAAATCCCCGAAAACGTATGGAATCCAAAATCAATACCTATAACAATAATATATAGAATATATTATAAAATAATGAAAACTCAATTAGCACCAGGAGCTCTATTAATGTCTCAAAAGGATGAAATAACTATGCTATTAGTAAATCCAGTAAAAGGTTAACGCTGTAATTCCAAAAACATTAAAACATACCTGAAATATCTAGTGGACTTAGCTGGAGATTAGAAGATTTACTAGAACCAGAACCCCCGAACCAGTAGAAATTGAAAACATAACCTAATATAAATCGAGAACAAGTAGAAGTATCTTTTGCTCCAATAAGAAGAATAAATTCACAAAGAGAATCAACTAGTAAAAATACTTTTGTAACCGCTTGAATAATTATAACTTATATTAAGAAGCTAATAATTATTGTTATTTATTTAAAAAATAATATAAAAGTTTTTATAAATAATAAACTAAATGAATTCAACCAGATTGAATGAGTATTGATAATATTTAAAGAATGAATTAACAAAATTACGGAAAAACAATATAGAGATATATATATATAATGTGTTTATAAAAAAAATATTTCAATTGAATCTATCTATTTTATAGATTATTAATAATTTTGTCATGTACGAAAATCTATTAAGATAAACTATTAAAGAAAAATTTCTTTATTCTTATTGTAATTAAGTTTACTTAATAAAAAAATATTATATAAAAAGTCATGATTACTTTTTTTACTTGATTATTCTTTGAAAAATAATAGAAAAACCTTTAATAGCACCTCTTAAACAATTATTTAGAAATAATATAATTCAACAATATGTGTTTGTAAAAAATAACAATAATTAGATCAAATTAAATAATATATTTTTATTAAATATAAAATTTAAATAATTCTAATTAATTTAAAATATTATATTTAATCTTTTTATCTATATTATTATTAAAAATAACAATAAATTAACTTAATAATAATGAATAACATTATTAATAATTAATTTTGTATTAATCCAGAATGTTGTTATTTTTATATTATTTAAATATGTTTTTCAATTTTAATATTAAAATTTTTATCTTAATTAAATATCAAATTAAGGTAAAAGAATTTTTTTCTTATTTATTAAGATAAAATTTTGAATTTAAACATTATAAATAATATAATTTATTAAAGATATAAAACTAAGTTAAACTCAAAACCATGGTGTGTATATGTGGTAACTAGTTTTATGTGTTATAATACTTTGTCAAGGTTTCAAATAAGAACACTAACTTATTTATTTTAATAATTGATTAAAATGGGAATTTAAATTGAAGACAAAAAAATTTTAGGATTTTATTTGTCATTAAAAAATAGATATATAAATAATAATATTAATTTATAAAAAATTAATACATTTTATATTAATGATATTTTTATAAAAATAATTTTATTATATAATATTTTATATGACATACATGATTTTTTTTATTTTAATGAAATTATGCTAATAATTTTTATTTTAATAATTATTTATAATAAAATATATTTTTATTATTTTTGATGAATTATAGTGAAAATTTTTAATTTAATCACTGAATAATATTTGTGACAAATATATTATTTTTGTCACTTTTAATAAAATTATAATAACTATCTTTAATTTAGTCATATTATAAATAGTATTTATGATAAATTAAAAACTCATCATAAATAATATATATAATGATAAATATTTATATTTGTCAATTAATTTTTGTCATTACAAATTATATTTCTTAAAGTGAATTCATGTTTCTAAAATTAAATTTTAATTTTTTTATACAAAATTAAGTTTAGATTGAAATAACTAAGGATGCAACTTCAATTGATTTTTTATTTATTTTACGATTAAAAGGTATATAATATTTTTATTTAATATATAATTAATTATGTTTTACTAAATCTTTTGCTGCTTTCGTAGGGCGTTTGTTGTAACTGTGTATGAACCATGGTTAACATTAAAATGGTGGGATGAATAAATTGATTGAATTTAGAGATTATGAAGAAAATTACACATGCTTGCTTAGACTCCCAAGTGAGGGAGTGAGAATTATATTATTGTTTATAGAAGAGCCCTGTTTCAATGGATCCATGAGAGTCTATCATGCTTCATCTTTATGTGCCTTCAGACACATACGTATGTGTGTGGGTTTCTGTTACCAGTTGCTTTGAATTTATAAACCAGAGACTAATTCGAAAAAACCTATTTACAGTACTTTATCGGTTGATGTTATGTACACCACGAATATCAAATAGAAATTTTATGTTAATCCATCGGATTTTTTAAAATTGTTATTTTAAGTAACATTCTATGAATGAACAAGGACCCAGTAACGTTATAGTAATATGACTCATTCACTTTATTTTTTTAGTGAATAATATTAAACTTTATCATCTAATTGTCAAAATGAAAGTTGTTAAGTCAAATATACATCACACTACGATATAATGTTTTTTTATTATAAATCAATAGAACCTATGCACATTCATGCGCACCATACAAAACAAAAGGCATATATGTAACTAAGTGACAATGGCAAGACAATTATGTTCCAAGTCTTACATGAAATGTGCTTATATGTGCGTTTGGTTAATTTTTATTTTCAATTTATCTTTTTATTTTTATTTTTTATTGTTCATTTATTTTTATTACGAATTTTGTAAGTAATTCTCAATTTAATTTTAGGTTTATTATTTAAAAAAAATTTTAAATTTAATTATTATATTTTTTATTTTAAAATAATTTTTTATTTTTAACTTTATTTTAATAATTTTTTAATTTAATTAATTTTTTTTAATTTTATAAATTTCAATTATTTAAGTTCTACTTCAATTTAATTTTAATTATCATTATCATTATTCTCTAATTTGATTTTAATTTTTATTATTTTACATCAATTTTTTTTTCATTCTTCCATCAACCTATATTTATCATTATTTACTATTTTTAAAAAAAATTATATGTAATTAGAGATAAATTCTTATAATTGTGTTTTATGAGATTTTGTATGGTTACTTGTAGTATATTAGTTTAATAACTTTTTTTACCAGAATTTTATATGACCAAAATATAGTTGTCAATCATAATATCAAGCTTAAAAAAATTAGAAACTTGTTTTTTATTTTTATTATTTTTAATATAATTAATAATTAAAGTGAATTATTATTTAGATTATTAAATTAAAAAAATTAAAGATGAAACATAAATTCTCTTTTTTTTCGAGTAAATATATTCCATATATATATATATATATATATATATATTTTTTTTTTTCGGTCTAGTCGGATAGATATATAACTAGCGCACCATTGCTGACTCCTGTATCTAGAATTGACCTCCATTCGAAGCATGCGGAATAATTGACAAATTGTTCTAATTACTTTACGCAGTGTCAATAGGACAAAAAAAATGTAGGTTGTTCATGCGGGAAAGAAGCTGGTGGAACCAAAATAGCTCCATATTTTGTAAGCTTTGGAACAATTAATTCAAGTTTAGATAAGATAAATAGAATTTTTCTTTGTTGATGAAAAAGACACATAAAATTACGTTTTCGATGATGTACATGATATATAAATTAAGATTTCAATGTAAAAATTATGTCAAGCTAGTGATGTTAATTCAGTTCCTTTGATAACTTTTTGCTTTCTATTACCTTTTTTTTTAGTTAGGCAAATGCACACGTCTCTATAGCTAGCTAATCTGAAGATGAGTTTTTGACATGAGCATATTCTTTTCATATGAATATCACAGTATTTTCTCTTTCAGATTCCCAGGCCATGATTACGATTCTTTACACACATAATTATGAGAGTACAGACTATACAGTACGTGTTAAGGATAGGAAGGAAATAATAAAGCACTCACGGCCAAAAATGGCAAACCCTAGTTAGACCCAGAAAAGCAATTAGTATAGGAATAGGATATCTATCATTATTAGTTCAACAGATCGAGAACAAGTTGACAAAGTGGTACAGAACGAGAATCTTATTAATCAGAATAAGTATATATATATATATATAGTTTCTTCATTACTTGCAATATAAATAAATCAAGAAATGTCAATAACAACAAATTTTTCTTCCTTAGTTTCTGCACTAACATCTGTAGTAGGAAAAAGAAGGTTGAAATAAATTTTCACTTTCAACCAATTTTTCTTAGCAGAGATCTATTAATCACAAACAAATACACACCCAGAAAGTTGAAAATGAGGTGCGGGATGCAGAACAAGATAACAGAAAAAGAAACCGGTATTTAACTAATTGCCATGCTATTGCTAGCTACATGATTGATTAGAGTAAAAGGAAAAGGGCTACATAGTAACACGGAATATACTCAGCCAAAAACTGAAACGGATCGGACCAAGATGCTTGATTCCCCAGGAGTTGATGAGTTGTGGGATCTTGCAGCAAAACCAAAGACCCTTTCCACTCAAACATTAAAGTAGCTAGGGTTTACTCATAAGCATGATAAGCAAACATTGCCTTTTCACCTTGTCAACTTCCTGGTTGTGATGGTGAAGGTGATGATCAGAAAATGCAAGAAGTGGTTGGTGGATGGTGATGATGATGATGATGATGATGATGTTTGTGATAAAGGAAGAGGTGATGGCTTTGAGAGGGTAATGATGATGAAGGGTGAGAGAGAGTGGGAAGGAGGAGGAGGGCATGATGATAATTGGTGTTGTGTGATGTCGTTGATAGGTTGGAGAAAAATCCAAGGTAGTTTGTGCCATTCCTCTCTGATGAGTAAGAGAAAGAGACTAATTGGTATGTCTCGTGGGGATAAAGAGTCATCGCGAATATCGTGGTGCTAACTTTTTCATGCCCCTCCAACTCTTGATGCCAAGGAAAAGGAAATATGATCCCATTTCGTTTTCTTTGCATAAATTATTACCTGCCACTGTTCCCTCCTCCACAATACAATCCAAACAAATTTTACTGCATCCGGGATGATTTTGTTCCCACGTAATTACAAGAAATGCCTGCTCTATTTTCAAACTGTGAGTTTGAAAAAAAGTGAAAATCTTTGTTTTGAATTGATGTCATGTCTCTCCTATATATTTATTATTTAATCCTCTTTCTCATCCTTTTAAATAAAAATGACATGTTTTTTTAAATTACTCTTTTCTTTAAATTTTATACACATTATGCTTCTCTTTAATTATTTTTTTTAAATCAAAAAGCTAATGTGAAAAAGCACATTATATATAAACAAAATAACAAATCATAAGGAGACACTTTTCAAAATATATATTTTATAATAAGTATAATGTGATTGAAAAAAAAATTGAGAGATTGATATGGTGGTTGAAAAAAATGGATGTATTCTAATCATTATTCTATTTCAATTTATATTTTTTTAAATAAAAAATAGAAAATGATACATAGAGACCTTTAAAAATGAAAAAGATTCAAATGATATTTTGAAGGAGAAGAAAGTATAAATTTTATAATAATCATAATGACAGAAAGATCCATGAGGTGTTTAGAAAAATGGATGTATTGGAATCATTACTCTGTTTCAGTTGATTTTTTAAAACAGAAAGTAAAGTATAACTATTTTTTAAACTGATGTTTTATTATTGAAGCATTTGTTTATATATGTTGATGACAGTAAAGGCTAAATGTGGCTGCATATGGAGGGGATGAAACGGTGAAGAGTTTTGCAGGTTGTAGTGAAGGGATAAAGAAGGAATATAGCAGGTGAAGAGGAATATAGCATTGAGAATAAAGAATGAGAATGCGATGGAAAGAGTGAAGTGAGGAGAATGAAAGGGTTAGAGGGAAGAAGTAGAAAAAAGAAAAAGAAAAAATTGCAAGGAGAGGCAGACAAAGTTAAAGGAAGAGATAGAATATGCGGCCTTCTGAATGTATGGCTGTCCTTCTGCAAAAGCAAGAACTGTGAATAGAAATAATAGGGACAAAACTGTTAGTTACTGTTCACATATAATGCAATTATATTCCCGGCATTCTGAAGCTTGAAAGCAATAACTCATTGTTTACGGGGACAGAGGAAAAGATTCCGAGATAAGCATATTTTGAATGTTTGTCCAGTACCATACACTGCTTCTTCAGATACTTCTTGATTCTCGCACTACTTCCACCACCCACTCTCAGAGAAAAAAAAAAAAAAAAAAAAAAAAATATATATATATATATATATATATATATATATATATATATATATATATTGGAATAACTCTGCAACATTTGTTGCATCATTCTTTTTGTTTTAAATTTTTTCCCCTTTATTGTTGGCATTTCCACATGTTTGCCTCACCCCACAGCTACTTTGCTGGGTCACTTTGTTGTTTAAACATCTCTGAGTTCATTCATGTTTTTTGTTACTCTATATATTTCTTCATTCTCCATCCCTACTACTTACTTGCCTTTTCAGAATATCTTCCGAAGGATGGTCCTAAGATTTTTTGACCTACAGAAAAATATATAAGATATTATTGGAAATTCAAGTTTGATATGAAATTTTATGATGAGTAAGAATGGAAAAATTGGACGAAGATGATGTCCTATTTATTTTTTTTATATGTTGACTATCTCATTTATAAGAATTTATCTTCTAAGTTCTAACCACTCCTTGAAATATACCCCACCTTTAAATATAAATATATGTTACATGATATTTTTTTTTATTTTATTATATAAAATGCATAGTATAATTTTCATGAATTTTAAAATATTATATTAAATTTATTTATTCAATTACTCATTATTTATTATTCAATTATGTCTCTATAAGAACGTATAATATATATATATATATATATATATATATATATATATATATATATAATATTTTCAGAAGTTGGAGCAATATTTGCCTGTTTGTTTCAGGTGGTGAAAACAAAAAATATTCGATTTAAAAATGTAGAACTTTCTACATTATTTTATAATTTAATTTGTTGTATATTATAAAAAAAATAATTACATTTCTGTTTAATTTTGTTTCTTTATTAATAAAATGTCTTATAAAATCTCTTAATTTCAAAAAATGCAATAATATGACTTTTCAATCCTCAATTTTTTTTAATATAACAATATGGATATTTTTTAGATAGACGTAGTTAATTTTATAAATTGTTATTATATATTGATTATATACTGTATCATGCATAAAATAATATAGCCAATATTTGTTTATTAATAATTTTCCTTTGAAGGAAAAATATTGAAAAAATTTGGGTAATGTATATATATGATATATATTTAAATGTGTTAGGACCATTATTTATTAAGTCAAATAATAAAGTGATCTGACTAAATTAAAAAGTTTGGTTAAAGACATATGTCATGAAAATAAAATTGTGTAAAGACCATAGAGCAATTTCTAATTTGATGAGGGACCAAATTAGAAATACTAAAACTTAAGTAATTAACCTAATTCTGGTTATTTTAAGGGGTCATGGTCCCCTTCTAGGAGCACGTAGACAGAATGTAAGTTACTCTCCCGTTCCTTTCTTTCTATCCCCGTCAAGAGAGAAAATCAAGAGAGAGAAATACAGGTGCTCTTCAGGTGGAAGACCATAAGACTAATATAGTACTCCAAAAAAGGATATCATCATTATGGCTAATTCAGGTACGCTTTCGCATTCAGTTTACAATATGTTTATCAGTATGAGATTACGTTTATGTTTGAACGTTAAAATCAAAATCAGGATTATAGTTATTATTAATTTTCCAACAATTAATATCAGAGCTACTCATACTTGATTCATGTTTGTCTTTGAAAATTAATTTAGAACCCTAGGTGGAGAATAATCTCCAATTTTCGTAAACCTAAATTCAAATTTGGGATAAATTCCCAATTTTAAACCTAATTTCGAATTTGGGGGTAAAATCCTTGATCGCTCCTGGTCACTGATCACAAGTCCGAACAAAGATCGGAAAAATAATAGTGAGGGGCTACGAAGGTGGCGTTTTGTGAGAAGATATTTTGGACCAAACCTGATTGGCTCCAATGGTTTCGATAAGAAATGATTGTAGTGGAAAGTTAGGTATATTGCTTCTAAGTATAAATACATTCATTGTTAATTTCTACCATCATTCGTACGAGGAATTGGTCTTGGCTTTGGGATCTCGGAACCCGTGCTATGTTGTTATGTTGGGATGACTATGATGGTCAACAGAGGGAATGAATGTGCTTCGAATCACGTGCACTTTTGTCACATGAGTTGAAATGTTCAGGTTTTCAAATATTGAAATTAAGGATTAATACTTCTAATGGAAAACTCTTACTTTACGAACTGGCAGTGATGATATTCGTGCCACTATAATTTTTTTTAATAAATAAATAATCAAATTCTGGTTTGTTTAATATTTTACATGAGTTAATTAAATTAAGAAATCGCTAAAGCGGTCTCTCTTATATAAATTTATTTATAGAAAAATATTAAATCTTTGGTTTTGTTATATAATATTCAAATTTTTGGAAGTTTAATATTTTTTGTGAGCAAATTGAGTCAAGAAGTCACCAAAGTAACATCTCTTGAATTGGGTAGTTCATGAAAAATATTGAATGTTAGTGTTTGTGCATATTCATACGAGTATTAGTAGACCCAAAGGAAGATTAATATTTGGCCCAATTGCATACACACCTGTAATGATAAACATGTGATAATTATAAGGATTTGCTTTGTCGATGATAAATCAATCCAAAGACTGGTTTGTTGTTGGACGTACTTTATTGTTAATGTTTGATTATTACAACAAGATACCTCTAGCAGTTAATATCACTGTCCAAAGACTTGAGATTGATGGTGCATTGGGTGTCTTGAGATGGGTTAAACCATTATTTGTAGTGGCGGATCTTCTTGGGAGCTGAGGGGGGCCGTGGCCCCCCTAAAGTTTTATAACTCCCATGTAATTTATGATTTTGGCCCCCCCAAACTTAATTAACATTTAATATATTTACTTGTATATTTACCATCTTATCCTCTCAGCCCCTCCTCAGTTTTGTAACTCTCATATCATTTATGATTTTGTCTCTCTCTAACTTAATGATCATTTAATATATTTACGTATATATTTACAATGTTATCCTTTTACCCTTTCATCTTCGTTCTTCCTTTTATATTTATTTATTATTTATTAATAATATATTATTTGGCCCCCCAAGATCAATGGTCAAGATCCGCCACTGATTATTTGAATATATATTTTATTTATAATTATTTATTTTTATAATGTGAGCATAATTAATTTATTTCTCTTGTTCTTAATTCAACTACAATTGTTTTCGTATCCGCCAATTTAAATTTTGTTCTGATCCTCAAAAGTATGTTTCTTACTTTGGTCTGTTCTGAAGTCAATTTAGCGTCAGTACCTAGTAACACTTGGTGGTTAGACTCAGGTGCAACTACTAACATCAGTGTTTCTATGAAAGATTGCATAAGCAACCGAAAACCAATTGATTCTGAAAGATGGATATATGTTGGAGATGGCAAATCGGTAGAGGTGAAAGCTATAGGGCATTTTAAATTGTTATTGAGTACTGATTTTTATTTGGATTTGAAAGACACTTTTGTTGTGCCGTCATTTAGACAAATTTTGGTTTCAGTTTCTTATTTGGACAAATTAGGTTATTTGTGTTCATTTGGAAACAATAAGTTCAGTTTGTCTTTTAATTCAGATATTGTTGGAACTGGTTCACTTTTGCCTTATGATAGTCTGTATTTACTTGATACTGTGACCACCTATAATGAAACCCTTAATACAGAATCACGGGGTACTAAACGTAAAATTGATGATACTCACTCAGGAGCATTATGACACAGGCGCTTAGGTCACATCTCTAAAA